ATGTTATACATATTAACTGCCTTTATTAGACCAACCTACTCGAAAACTGGATTATCAGGACCATGCTTAAGAAGCAACGGATAATTTTTTAAATGTAAACTGTAACAAGGATAATCCCTTTTAATCTCGTCATCCTCGACCACCCACGTTTTTTCCTCCCTGACAGGAGAAAGTAATGTAATGCTGTCTGACCGCGGGCGGACTTGTAAAATTGCAGGAGCCTAGTTCAAATTAATAGACACATCGATAACAAACACGATGATTAATGATCGTCATCATATTGTTCTTGTTCATTTGTTCCTAAGCGAACAATTTTCACAGACCTGACACTGTGGTTATGATAGTGTCGCTTGTTCGTGATGAATTTCCAAGTGAAAGGTGGGACTGAAGTGTATGTTGACTTTAACAATTAACGAATAGTATTTTTTTAACCGACTTTCTAACGTCATATATAGAGATTTTTATTTAGGAAATTTTAACCCATTCGTCCTCGCTTGACGACATTCATCTAAACAATCTAGAATGCAAAATAATTTCAACAAACCTCTATCAAAACAAACGGCCTTCAAGATATTGCTTTCTCCTCTTTCGAAGACAAAGTAAGAAGGCCGGTGTATCTGATTGTTTCCTAGAAAGTGACTTCTAAAATTTGCACTTTTTGCACGTCTACAACCAACTAGTCATTAAAAGTCAATAATGGTCAGCAAATTGTTAATATTATAAAAATGCAACAATCATTTTCAATAAATTTATCTTTGCTATGTCTTAAGAAAGAAATTTGCATGGATCATGCTCTGCTTTGTGAATATATTTCATGACTAAATTCGTCCAAAGAGATGAATGAAAGAGAGAAAGGAATACATATTTATTCTTTTTATTGGCGAATTGATTAAGCTTTCTATTAAAATGTAGATTAAGGCAAAGGGTCAGTATAGCCTAATAGAGAAGTTCAATAATAAATGTTTTTTTTCTAATTATTTTATTTAACTCTTGTGTACATACACATTATGTTTTGCTAATAAATACTGATATACAGCACACTCACAAAGTGTGATTAACATGGCATTTGAGGGTGGGTCCTGCCCTATGGCAGTCCACACAATAATTCACTGGAGTATAATAATTTGAGATAAATAAATATCACATTAATAAATAAATTAACCCACTTTTTTGTTTTTATCTATAAAAATATAACGTCAGGCGCACGTTTACACTAACACTTATTTACACACTTACAATCTGTACTCTGTATGATGCTTTCTTTTTAGCCGTCTTTGTTGGCGGGGTGGAGGCATATTCGCTGGAATTTGTGCAATTGCCGGATTCGGGTGGGAGTCAGCTTTGGCAAGCAGCATCGGGTATCTCTTCTTTAGTTCGTCTTCTACCGATGTCAAAGATATTTCATGGTGAAGCTGTTCTTCCTTACGAACCAGGGCGCGTTTGTTATTATCCGTAATACACGGTTCTGTAGCGTTTGTATCCTTTTTATTAGCGAGGCGGATCCAGAATAGCAAATGGGTGAGCCATAAAACCATATTGGTTTTATTAGGCTTAGATAAAGGAGTCGCTTAAGTGGAATTTGTACAGAATTGCTAGAGAGAATTGGTTTGATATTGGGAATACGCAAACGAATTCTCGTTACACATGAGGATATGTGATTATTCCAGGTGAGATGCGAGTCTAAGTGCAGCCCTAAGTATTTATATGAGTCCGCTTGAGGTACATTAGTTCCACCGAGTAATATATGTGAAGGCCTTGAGGTCTTTTTATAAGTGAAGTTAATGAGTTTGGACTTAGTTGAAATCAGTTTAACTTTCCACTTAGATGCCCAATCATCAATTTTTTGGCAGTAATTCTGCATCTTCGTTTCTACATCACTGAGCGTGATTCTTTGGGACAGCACTGCTTTGTCATCGGCAAATTGGGCTATTTCGATGTTGCTATCTGCTGGAATGTCGTGCTCGTACAGAATGTAAAGGAGGGGTCCCAGAACACTTCCTTGAGAAACACCCGCTGAGATGCTGTGTACTTCCGAGTTCGCTCCTTTATAGCTGACAAAAAAATTTCTGTCGGTCACATAAGACTTCACCAGCCGGTAGTATGTATCAGGTAGTAACTTTTTAATCTTATATAGCAGGCCCTCGTGCCACACGCGATCGAAGGCCTTTTCGGTATCTATAAATAAACCTAGACAATACTTTTTTCCTCATAAGTTTGTAGTATTTTATACACTACTCTGTGGAGTTGCCACGGACAAGAATGAGATGCTCTGAATCCAAATTGTGTGTTCGGTATTACAGACTTAAATAACTCAGAAGCTTTGGAAATATTAGTCGCTCGAGGATCTTCGATTGTGTAGACAACAAACTTATTGGCCGATAACTGGTCGGTTTATCCCATTCTTTTTTGGCTTTATGTATAGGTACCACTTTAGCAATTTTCCATTTTTTTTAAAGTATGCCGTTCGAAGGATGCCATTGTATATTTGTGTTAATAGTACGAGACATTTTCTAGGCATATGTATCAATAGTGGCCTTACGATCATGTCCATACCTGGTGCTTTTTTTGTTTTAATTTTCTTTTTTCTGAACATAAACTACAATTTTTGAATTACACGGTGAACCTGAGATGGAGTGAAGAAATCATAAAAAGGTGACAATTGCAAGGGAGTGTGAAGAGATTCCTGTACCATTTCCGTTGTTTGTGGATTGTCAATGACATTTGGCTGAAACTATAATAAATCGTTAAAAAAATAGAAGTCAATAAAAAGATGACTTGTTGCTAGCTACAAAACTGGTTTCGTCCTTTTAGTTTTATAACAACATATTACAAATATAACAAAAAAATCTTACCTGAATATACCAGTATTTACTTTATTTTCATGTAGTCATAACGAGTTCAAAGAAAATATCTGTTTACTGATTCAACATATTTTTAGCATTAGTAACAATTTTTTTGTGGTGATAGTCTGACCACAAGACCTAGCTATAAGAGGTTAGTCATGATGTATAAATATAGATAGATAGATGCAGATAAATTGACAGATAGATATAGATAAAAAGAAAGATGTAGAGTTAAATATATACAGTTATATTGATAGGTAGATATAAATGTATAGATCAAAAGAAATAGAGATGAGAGAAAGAGTGAGGGAGAGCGAGAGAGAGAGAGAAGAATAGATAGATAGAGATGGGGAGATAGATAGATGTACAGAGATTGAGAGAGAAAGGGAGTGAGAGAATCCAAAAGTACTAGAAAAAAAGGGAGTCAGAAAGTTAGAGGACTAGAGAGACACACACGTTAGAAGGAGAATAAAAAGTCACAGAGATGAGAGAAAAGAAGAAAAGGAAAGGGAGCAAGACACATTTGAAACATAGGAAAATAAAAAAGTGACAGAGAGAGGAACGAAAGGGAGAGAGAGAGGAGAGAGAGTGAGAAGGATAGGTATATAAAGATTTGGAAATAGAATACAGAGATTGAGAGAGAAAGGGAGTGAGAGAATCCAAAAGTACTAGAAAAAAAATGGAGTCAGAAAGTTAGAAGTTTAGTGAGAGACACACACTTGTTACAAGGGGAATAAAAAGTGACAGAGAGATGAGAGAAAAGAAGAGAAGGAAAGGGAGGGAAACACATTCGAAACCTAGGAGAATAAGAAAGTGACAGAAAGTGGAAAGAAGGGGAGAGAGAGTAAAAAGAGAGATTAATAAAGTACGAGAGAGAGGGAGAGAGAGACTTTACACAGGAAAATAAGAAAGTGATAGAGGGAGAGGGAAGGAAGGAGGGAGAGAAAGAGAGAGAGAGAGAGAGAGAAAACAAAAAGAGAGAAAGAGAGAGTGAGAGAGTGAAAGACAACAAAAACTGTGAAAATGGATTATTTTTGGGTGTGTCTGTCTGCCTGTATGAGCTGTAACACGTGTGCTGCTGGCCATAACTTAAATCTTGCCTTAAATAAGACAAAAAAACTGCTATTTTTCCTCTAATCGCGATAGGCATAAGACAACGTGAGTGAAAGGAACTGTATAACTTTTTCTCTATTTTTGAAAGGAATTTCATACTATTTTTTTATTGTCAAAGCGTACCCTTTCTGCAAATACCACTTTTCAATCTTTTCCAGCGACCCAGAATCGTCTGTTCGTGTTTCAAACGTATTAACGTCTTACTTTCATGTTCAGAAAGTTAAAAAGCGCAGTAAAGAGGAAAAAATTGTTGCAGTTAAACGAACTTTAACAGGGAAATAAATTTTCTTAACTTAACTTTTAACTAAACTGTTAACTTGTACAAACTTTTCCTTACGTGCCTGCCACAACCCTTACAACAATTAAATACAGTTACATAAATAATGACGAAAAATCTAAATCAAAGTTTGTATTTTGTAACGAAAATATGGATATGTTTCTACAAAATTCTGCTTTGGGAGAAAAGCTATTATATCTGCTTTCCTTGTTCAATATATTGTTTCTTTCTTCTTTACGAAGTTATATTCAACCTTCAATCGGAGATTTTAAAGTTTCAAAGCAGAGACCTTTTTCGGTTCAACTAAATGAAGCATTTATAGCCAGGTTCAACAGCAAGAAGAAACTGGGATTTCATTCAAACAGGCTGACTCTCTAGTTCAATCCGCTTATCTATTATTCATCGTGAGTCTTTAAAGTCCTTTAATAGAGGAAAAAAAGACAGAAACATTAGTAGAACAATTTCATGAAAGTTCCATTAAGATGAGAGTTTTTTTTTGTTTAATTTAAATAAGTTTCATTTTATTATGTCAATAGAAACTGATTTCTTGATGTTAAAAACGGATCTTTCTAGGATTTAAATATTTCCTTTTCAAATCAGCTTAAACATAACTTTCTCTAACAATTAGTACCAAATTTGTGTAATGATCACTTGGGTTTCTATCTTCTATCAGGATTTTTTTAAACTGAATTATAGTTTGTTATAAATTTAATATAAGTTTGTGCAGGGAAGTATGTAATAAGAGTTATTATGAAATTTTGTTTTAGGGGCAAGCAGGACTTTCGGGGTGATGAGGAGGATGAAAATGGCCCTGCTGCCGATCATGTTCAAACTGGGCGTGATCACGACACTCCTGATGATGTTGACTGTATTCGCTTTAAAAGGGTTGACCATAGGGGTGAGCATAACGTTTAATCCCATCCTTGGCAAGTTTTAAAAAATTTCCTTTTTTGTTTAGGTGATCCTTCTCATATTCACGACGGCAGGGTTTCTCAGCAAGTTCAAAGTTGCACACCAGGACCCGTGGGGCTTCCAGAAAGACGTCCATCTCCATGTCCACGGAGGTCAGCACAGCCCACACTACGAACACCCCTGGGACCGAGATGGTTATATGAATTATAATTACAACAGGCCGATACCTGAACAGTCACACCGATCCCCATGGGACCCGTATATATCTTAAATCATTACAAGTTACTAATTCCTCATTTATCAACTCGGATTGACTTTTTTTAACTGTCCACACTGGTTCCTAGAGATCTCGTTTATCTAATCTCATATTTTAAACCAGACCAAATTCCTTTCGTTTTGGCAATGCAACTGGAACTCATTCGGTATTCGAGACGAAGCTGAGACTTTGAAAGTTAACCCATAATTCCAAATTGAACGTAAATAAATAGAAATCCTCGTTGTTGTTTAAGAATAACAAATACGGTGGGCCCGTTCGTACAGGTGGTGCCGTTGAGTTTAGAATGTGACCTAGAAAACGTGGGAGGAATTAAAAAAATTACACTTCCTCCTTTTTGTTCCCAGCTCAGCTCATGCTAATCTTTACCGCGTATGTCGAATGATATCGGCGACCTAATTTCATGAAGTTTTTACGCAAAAAAAAAGTGCTCTTTTTTTTCAATTATGATTTTATTACTATCGAAAAAACATTATCGTGTTTTCAATGATTATTCATTAAAATATTGACATTTTCAACAAAATCGCAACGCTAAATCATCTAGCTAGCATAAACCTTGGTTTAATATGATGAAATAAACTTCTTACATCATACAAAGTGAAAAATATACAAATTCAAACAAAGTGCAAAAAATGACGTCTTGACCGATTATATAATAAAAGACCAAAAAATCACTGTTTTTATCTTTAATGTTTGATTAATGTCAAACAAAAAGTAAAATATTAAAAAGTTCTCCATTTTGTTCAGGACTACTTCCAAACGGAGGTTAAAGTTGTATAAGAGAAACTCGTCATTACTGATAAAAAAATGTTTTGCCAATAATTTATTTACGTATTTTTTTGTCGAATTGGCATAGAAAATGAAAAACACTTCCTATAATCGGCGAATAAATTCCAAGGAGTAAATGGCGTGTGACTGGGCGATTTCGACAAACTAAAGAAAAAAATGACGTTATTACTACATTCACCTATTTTTCCAGAAACGTTTCACGATGATTTCAACCAGCAGCAAGAGATTGTTTCCACAATTATGTTTTTGTGATTACTGATCATTTCCAATGTTTTCAGTGTTTAGTTTTCCAGGTAGATTGGAGCATTTTATTGTTCAAACTTTCATCTCTCATAACCACCAATACTCAATAAGCTCATTTATTTTAACTTTATTTCCTGAGCAGTTTCCTGTACGGTTGTTGGTAGACTGGTACCAATCAGCTAATATGCTAGACGAGAAGCTTTAATTAGATAGTTATAGTGACTATAGTGGTTTAGTTTATTTATTTATGTAGAGTTTAAGTAACCAGTATTACTCATAACAAAAATCGAGAATTTGTAATCCTTACCATCTCAATTTCATTTAACAGGGCATTCCATTTGCTTTATTTGTTTTGTTTTTTCCTAGTCGTATTATGCTAGGTCATTTTGTACATATATGTGATTGTTTTTAATATTTTAGTATGTCTAAATTTATTTATGTAATTTATTTATTTATATACCTTGATTGTTATTGCGTGTTAAATAAATAACAATAAATAAATAACTAAACAGTTTTATTTTTCATTCCTGTTTTATTTAAATTATTGTAAAAATCTCTTTGATTTTATAAATTTACAATATTTATATTTTTTCAAAATTGGTACATAGAAATTCTATCCATTTGCTAATAATAGGAGACGCTTAATAAATTTACAATATTTCTTTTTTATTTATTAAAAAATATATTTTTTGCATAGAAATTAGGGGTTTTGCCAATTGTGGATAAGTAAGAGATGTTTTAAATGAAACAAATAATGTTTTTCAATAAAGCAAGCTAATATTTGAAAGATAAAAAAAAGTATAAGGTCAAATGCAAAATTTTGTTTCAGGCAATGTATAAGAAGACACTGAAAGTAAATTTAATAAGTTGGGTTAATAGGCTAAATGAAAGGCAAAAACTGCTTCACACTCACATATTTGCTTTGTTTCATGGAAAAACAAAGTAGTAGTAGATATGTAACTTAACCCTACTTAACCTAACCCAACCGATGCATACTCCCTGTTAACATGAAAATGGAATAAAATAAATTTGTGTATCCAACCTCAAAACACATACACAAACTCCTGTTTTTCTAAAGTCACAATAAAACATTGAACAAAACAATTTGTAGTTTGACTACCACCAATCTCTGGTATTATTCTCACTTGTATTAGTCTGCCAGGTGCATTCAGCATCTCACCATCTTAACTATTTGAACTTTGTCTCCCAGAATCTGGGTCAATAGTGTCTTTAAAAAAGGCATGACTGTCTAAATAGCACCAAGGGATGTATGTTTTGTTTATAATTTCCTGTGTTAGGAAACTACAAGTAATAATCCTTTAAAATGGTGGAAAATGATAACTCCCTGTTACAGACTTCTTGTGTCAACTGAGAAATAAATAGCCTAAAATATTATTTTTAAATATAGTTTTGTCATATATCTTCATAAGGTTTCAAAACTCACTGGTAATGTTGATCTGAGTTGTGAAAAAGTAACTTCCGCTCATTCGTTGCCAAATGGCGTACATGAAATATATTTTCCAAAATCTTCACACATTGATTCAGTTTATTTATACCTTATTTTAAAAAAAATAACTATAAGAAATGCTGTATGAGGCTGTGATGTGAATATAATTGGTGCGTAATGTGCCTGTGTTTGAACTTTAAAATAAAATTGTGGACTCTCTATTTTAAAGTGTAGAATTTAGACAAAACTGGCTTACTTTTAACTTATCGTGTAAAAATTAAATATGGAAGTATTTTTGCAGAACCATATGTGAACAAATTTTTTCACAGTATGAATTCCAATTTGAGAATTTTGCCATAGGGTGAAACATGTCTAGGATATTTTAGGTAAGCATTTGAATCTTATTGATAGTGAATTTAATTACTTGAAAAAAATTTGCTCTCTTATAATTAACATTCCATGCAATAATAAACTAATAAATACAAATTGAAACTTTGTTTTAGTTAATTCAAATCGTATTAAAACAAATGTGCCCACAAAAAACAAAATAATTCCTATCAAATTAATAGCAATTAAATTATTGAATAAACTTCAGTTATTTTTTGTTCAGTTACATATGGGTTTTATGCAAACAAGTACCATTGATTTTATTAGTTGTATTTCAAACAATATTGAAAAATAAACCAAAGTTTTGAAAATTAATGACAGAATTTTTTATTTGAAATAATATTCACGTGGTCAGCCCTTCACTACATGAAAGTATAACTAGTTGTCATGTCAATGAAAAGACACTGATTATTCTTTGTATTTATAGTTAAATAATTGATTTGCTTTCTTTGTGCAGCTTCATAGTTGAATATCATAAACATTTGAGAATGTGTTGATATAATAGTTTATCGCCATCTCAAAATTGAATTAAAAATAAATAAATAATTTTTTCAATGTATCACGATTTTGACAGAATTTCTCTTTTCTGCCCAAATAATACAAAATGGCTGAGTCCATCATCAGTGTGATGTCCGGCTTTAGGGCCATAGACCTCGAAAGGCTGTCATATTTTGAAAGTGTATTTCAAAGGGCTAAGGAAACCACTATAGATGGGGATTTCCTCGCTACTAATGAGGTAGTATTTAGGTAATTTTGTTTTGAGCTTAGTTTAAATAATCCAAATTCAACTAGCAAGAAGAAATTCGCCCTGAAGAACCATCAAGATACACGGATTTCGAAAGAATTGCTGCTGTAGGCATTTTTAATGAGGCGATAGACAAGCTGGCCATAATTGGAGCAGACAAACCCAAAGTCAAACCCAATTGTAATTTTCACCCTCCGAAAGTCAGGTAATTGCAGTATTATAAGTCTCTGATCAGACAGTCCAAACCAGCATGAATTGTTGGATTGGGATGATCAGAGAAAACCAAAATTTTGGTTTTATTTAAACATAATAATTTAGGTTTTCATACAAACTCTTTTCCATTTCAGATATTACGAAAAAATTAGAAGTAGGAAACTTTTTGATATCGATTCTACAGCAGTAGTCGATGATGGTATTATCCGGACAAACAAATTCCAAAGAGAGAGGTGAAAAAATATTTTTAAAAAATTCTTTTAATGCAAATTTAACAAGTTAATTATCAATTTAAGAACATTATTGGAATATATACTCAAGCTAACGAGGGATGAACTTTTTGAAAACTCAAGCATTGAATGTCTCACTCAGTATCTGAATTTAGAAGAAAAGAAAATTAAAGAAGAACATGCCATTTGTTCAACGTAATAATTAACTTAAATCATAGGCTTAAAGCTTCACATCTAGTTTAATGCGGTAATAACACAATCAGTTAATTTAAATGATAACAATTGCTAAAAGCTGTGCTAGCATTTTAATAATCAAGAAATACAAAAAGTGAGAAATTAGTTGTAGCAAATGGTTCAAACCATGCTTTACTTAATTTTTATAATAATTTTTGAAATGTATTGCTGCTTCAAGGTATGGGCAATATTCAAGAACTATTGATGCTTTGAAAAGTGTAGCAGAAGAGAGTGAACATCACACAAAGAGTGTTTTGAAAGAGCAAACTGAATTGTCAAACAGTATTGAGGTGACAAGCTGTTTTTTTTTCAAATTCAAATTCAAATTCAAATTGTGCCTTTATTTTCATACAGGGTGAGCTACAAGAGAGCATGTTCCTGTATGGGATAAAACTGGGCTACAGCCGAAAATGGCATGAAGCAAGACTTGAACAGAACACCATGAAGATTCAAAAAGAAGAAGGAATAGTGAACGGACAATTGGAAGAAGCGAGAGCGAAGATGCTTAATGAGGACAAGATTCACAAGGATATTGTTCTCTACCTTAGCATGAGCATCATGGTATTATTTATATATTTGTATTTTAAAAAACTAGTAAAACTATATAATATGTAATTTTAGAAACTAAATAAAGACATTGAAAATTGGAAGAAACGCAGTGAAGTAGACTTAACTGCTAAAGACAATGAAATTATTGAAATAAGAACAAAAAAATCGGACGAAGCTGACAAAATGAGATCAATGTTAAGAACAGTAAGTTTTATTTTATTTACATCAAAAATAAATTATAGCTTAAAAAGAAAGGTTATGACAAATACTATATCAACTTTTTTAATAATGTGTGGTGATTAGTGACCGTTAATCGATAATTATTCAGAAATCGTGAGATGCGGTCTCGTGTGATGTAGGTTTCAGAAAAACATTTTCTTTATCGTGCCAAAGTTTCGATCTTTGTTGAGATCATCTTCAGGACTCAAAGTGTTTGTCTTCTGTGTAATTGTGCCATTCTTGCGTGTCGTGTTGAGAGTGCCCACTGAAGATGATCTCAATAAAGATTGAACGTTGGCATGATAAAGAAAATGTTTTTCTGAAACCTACATCACACCAGACCGCATCTCACGATTTCGGAATAATTTTTTAATAATGTATTTTATTATTATTATTATTTTTTTTTTTTTCGAATTCAGTACATGAGACGGCGAAATTCTATTAATGATTATCTGGAAGTGAAGAGAGCGAGGCTTCTAGCTGAGGAACAGAGAAAGTGGGAGATGATCGCAGCTAGGAGGATTCAGGCCTGGTGGAGAGGGACAATGGTGAGGTGGAAACTTGGAGAATATGCTGTGAAGAAGAAGAAAAAGGGAAAAGACAAGGGAAACAGAAAAAGAAAAAAATAAATAGTAAAATAAAAAGTATATTTTTGAATTTGTTGTACATTGAGAATTTTAGACTGTATCTATTGCAAAAACTAGAAGTTAGATGAAAATCAAGGATTGCAATTAACACTATGAAATTAATTATAAGCATCGAATTTTATTATTAATTATTATTAATAACCAATCAAATTTACATTATTATTGCAGTGAACAGTATTTAATAATTAAATAGTATTCTTTGGAATTTAAATCTTTTATTAAATACACATATTAAGAAGAGTAGCAAGACTTATTTTTAAAAAAATGCAACATTAACTTTTCATAAAGCTTTTTTGTGTGTAAAGAGTCAATAATCTTATGTTTATGCACTTCCTCGGATACTTAGAATACTACCATGGTAACAGCCAGCTAACCGCTTGTGGCATTGATCTTCTCATGGATATTGACAAAAAAATCTGTTAAACAGAATGTCCAACAACTGTGATGATTGCAATGAATCTAATTTGAAGAATAAAGAACATGAAGCATCGCTTTTCGAACGATGGCTTCAAGAAGCAAAGGAAGCAGATCTCTGTCAGAACTTTTTAACATTACAGCCCGTAAGTCAAACGATAATAAATTGGACAATTATCCAATAAATACATTTATCATGTTTATAATTTTTTTCATTTACAATTACCATTAGAAAAATTCAAGATCGGTGAACTATCTATTTAGCGTTGCTATAAAATATTATAAACGGTCGGTTTCAGTACACCTAGCATTCTTTGCCTTTCTCAGACATGATACAATTATTTTAAAAACAAAGAATTTTTTTCTTGGAGGTACAATTTAAAGGATTTTATATATTTGCTATATACTAGATTATGTATTATGAAAATAATATTGTGAAATTTTTTTTGCGTCGTCGCTGGGATGATGAATTCGTAATTTGGTTGTTACTGATCATTTTGGTCTGCTTATCCTGATATTTGACAAAAATCACACAGACCTAACACTGAATATGACAAAATGCCAAAGCGCGTCTGACACAAACTAACCCAGCAAAATTAGGCGTAATAAAAGCTAAAGACCAAATTTGTTTTAAAAATCTAGTTTTTCAGGAAGGAGATATTTATCAAAATGATTATACAAGATTTACTGACTTTGAAAGGTTCGCATGTATAGGTATATTGAATGAAATGATCGACAAACTGGCAATAATAGGAGCAGACAGACCGAACGTCGACTCACCAGATTCTGGGTAAGAATGTTAAAATTTCTTATAAATAGATAGAAATGTTTTCCTAATAGCATATTTTCATTAGAGACATAGCAAATACTGATGAGATAATAAAGCAAACCAATAAATTTCAACAAGACAGGTAAGAAGAAGCAGTATTGTTAAGTAAATATGTTACATTTTCAAAATGTATCCAGATCTCGATTGGAGTTTATATTGAAATTAATAAAAGATGAGCTTTATGAGAACAGCAGTGTTGAAACACTCACACAATATTTAATATCAGAAGAAAATAAAATTAAAGAAGAACATGCTATTTGTTCAATGTAAGTAACCAATATTAAAATATATAAAAAAGTAGTTGTTAAGTATTACAACTTAGTACAGTAAAAGTTAAATTGTTTTATATAGGTATGATCAGTATTCACAATCACTTCAAACGTTGAAAAATGTAGCCGAAAAGAGTGATTATCTTACAAAACATGTTATAAAAAGGCAGACGAAGTTATTAAACGATATCGAGGTGGACATGATTTATACAATTTAATTTTTTTTTTAATACATAACTTACGCAGATGTTAACAGGGAGAGCTTCAAGAGAGCATGTTCCATTATGGAATCAAATTAGGCTACAGTAGAAAGTTGCAAGAGGCAAGGCTGGAGCAGAATACGCATCGAATTCAGATGGAAGAAGGAGCCATCTTGACCGAATCGGAAGATCTGAAGTCAAGAATGTCCCAAGAAGGAAGAGTTCACAGGGATATCATGCTATACCTCAACATGAGCATTACTGTATATATGTATTTTACAAATTGAATTTATGTCCATAACATTTTCAGTTTTTATCATTTCTAGAAACTGAATAAAGATATAGCTAGCTGGAAAAAAAGATATGCAATTGACATAGCTGCTAAAAATAAGCAGATCTGTGAGATAAAAAATAAAAAAACAGAGGGTGCTGAAAAAATTAAAACACTATTAAATACAGTGAGTTTTTGTTTTTATACTTTTGTATAACTTTGTTTATTATAAGATAAAATTTAATTTTTCACATGAAACTTGTTATTATAGTACATGAAACGACGTAAAGTCATACAAGACTACCTGGAGGAGAAGAGGATCAGAATCGAAGCTGAGGAATTGAAAAAGTCCCAGGAAAGAGCAGCCACAAAGATTCAAGCATGGTGGAGAGGTACAATGGTGAGGTGGAAACTCGGCGAGTATGCAGAGAAAAAGAAAAAGAAAAAGGGGAAGGAAAAAGGGAAGAAATAAAAAACAAAAACCACACTTTTATAAATTTGGAATAACTTCTTGACTCAAATTATACGTTTATGCATAATGAAAATGCATTTATTTTCAGTTATGAAAAAACTCAATATTCCGTATCTCTGCATGATAACTACAATACAAATAAAAGTTAAATGATTTATATCTGGTTCAAGAGTGTAGCTTTTGTATAAATAAAAGCTCTATTTTTCCAATGTTGGTTCATTTTTCATCGGTACTTCTGTCTGTAGATCAGTTTCAGCAGATCCAAGGTCCTCTACTAGTTCATACTATCTGAAAAAGGCCGGGAGGGCACTGATTTTTTAATTTTATTTACAAATTGATCCATTTTATCCATTCCGGTGTTCCTCAAGGGAGCATCCTTGGTCTGTTATATTTCAGGATATACTCATCAGAGTTCACACTCACCCTTACTTTGCTGATGATACAGCAATCCTCTCTGAAAACCTCGATTCTTTCCTATTAGTTTGATCCTTTCAAGATCACCTCCTTACCTTAGCATCATGATTCCATAAATAGAGAATAACAATTAATGAAAACAAATCAAAACATGTGTCGTTTACTATCAAATCCAAAATCTACTGTTTATCTGAATCAAATTTCACTTCCTGCAGCATATTGACTATATAGGCAAAAGAATAATAAATATGTGTTAAAATTGTTGCATTGTAAAAAAACAGGTATGCATATGTTCAAGACTATTCACACATACACAAAAACAAAAAAAAAATAAAAAAATACTTTAAACAGCTTTACATTTCTAGTTTTTATGTGGACTTATGGACTGGCTATCTGCCAGGATTCAGTCCTTACAGTCAAAAATCCTCTTCACGGTCACCAACTTTATGTTTGACCTAACCAAATCTTGATACCTCAAATCCAGCTCCAAATATCTCATAATTTCTACTCCCTCATCCATGACCTTTCAACTCTTACCCTTCCTATCAATCCCCAAAGGAGGTTGAGGCATAACAGGTGACCAACTGTGCATATAAAATCATCCAACAGAATCATGTAATGTAGGCGAAGAGGCTGCCTAATGTTGGTCATCACTGGGTGGCTTACATTCACAAATAACCTTTGTTAAATATTATTGGTACTGTAATCAAAACGTATGTTTTTAAATTTTTGGGAATAAGTAATAATAGAGCATTTGTCTAAATTTAGTACCATATTATTTTGCTTGCACCAGTTGTGCAGAGAGTTCGGTGAATATTGGAGAATGTAACAATCAGTGGTATAATTTAAAAAAATATATATATATATATTTTAGATTATCAGCAAACAAAAGAGATCCAACTGAATGCAAAGTAGGAAGCCAGATCATTATGAAAGATTGGGCTTGAGTGCGAGCCTTGGGGAACTCCTGAAAGAACTTGATATTCAGTAGAATGCACAGACTTTGTCTGCGAATCTTTAAAAAGCTACTGAGCCAGAGAAGCCTTACACCAGAAATACCATAAGCACGGAGGTTTGCAAGAAATGTATTATGACCAACCAAAAAATCAAAGGCCTTGGAGAAATCGGTATATATCGTATCCACTTGAGACCTTGGTTTGAAGGCACTAATGCATACTGTTGGAAGGTAAGAATAGAACCATGTTGCTCATCTGAAATCAATGGTCTGATAGGAGAAAGTATATCCAAGACAAATGATTCAAATAATTTACCAATGGAGGATTGAATGATAATTGGACATTAATTTTTAATTTAAGCTCACCAGACTTATATAAAGGAACGTCACTTATTTTTAAACATATGGGAAATTCGCCTAGTTTGGATTTGGAATTTATTAATGTGCCAACTGACACCTCAAGGTACATGGGATTTCTCAATTGAAGGGGATTCTTCTTTTTCTACTTCTCCATAGAAGAATCTATCAGATTCTGGAATATGCTGAATCAAATAAGTCCAGATAGGCTGCTTACTAATTGGCATTGGTACGGTTTGGAGTTTGATACTTTAGTTTTAAAGATTAATATTTGAAGCAGACATAGGAGTCATATTTGATGAATTAAAAATTCAGAAAAATTCAGCAATTTTAATAGTTAAAATAAAAAACAGATTGAGATGGACGTTTCTAAGCTGAAACTTAGATCTTGAAGAAACTGTTGGACTGTAACGTTCTTGGTACATACAGATGGTATAATGTATTTTTTTCTTGAAAATCTATGGTTCTTAGTCATTCGAAAAACGATACAACTTGGAATAAGATGTTTTTAAAAAAATTTTTGTCTTTCAAGATGGCGTACATTGTATTTATCGCCGGATGTTGGAACTGAGTTCAGTTGTTTATTAAATTAGGAGAGGTGCAGCGGTTGTTTTGCTCTTTGGCATTCCAAATCTCCAACGATTTCCAAAAGCTCCCACACTGACATCCAGGGACGTCTGACGGTTTTAGCAAGCCAATCGGCTGGCGCCGACCTCCTGATGGATTCGACCGGCCCCGAGGTACGATCACCAACAAAAGTGGGGAAGATGTTGCTAAAAATACAACGGTTATGTAAAGAGATGGGGAGTGGCTAAATATAGAGCTGGGCGCCACAAGGCCAGCCCTGCGGATTCCGCGGATACCTGTTGTCTGCGTCAGGGCGGTCCATGTACTATATAAGACCTCCTGTTACCCCCGGCCCCTTTATTTCCGACATTCTTGCACATAAACAACTATTTAAAAGTCAAATTGAAGTTGAACAGTGAACCACATGAAGTGATGTGCGCGAGTGGTCGAAATTCCTCAATAGGTCGAGCTAGCCTAAGGTAGGTCCAAATGTCACCCAACCGACGACCATTTTAAATTCCCGTCAACCAAAATCAACTGTACTTATCATAAAATAATTCAACAATAATATACTTAGTAACAATTGAATACGATGATCATACAATAGTTAGAAGTTAGAATAGCTAATTAGAATAGTTTCAAACAGATTAGAAAATTATTAAAAATTCACTAGTTTCGTGGTCCGCTTGACCAAATCTTTCAATTAATTAAGGTTTTTAGTTGATATATATTGAAATATATAGAGAGTGTGTAATATATAGGTGTGTACATACATATCAGACACATTTTGTAATTTTGGTTTTAAATGTGAGATCTTGTTTTTTGAAGAGCTTATGTTCGTGTCAGATTGTTTGTATAATTTGTATGGCCCCGGACCCCTGGCTGAAGGGAATCCACGAATTGCTAAACGCTCAAGATTTATTCGCGTCCTGTGAAAACGTAAAAAGGTCCTGTTTGTTTTCAATTCTATTGTGTGCAGAAAGTTCACTCGTTGCATGAGATAAGTTACGCCTCTGGAGAAGAATTATTTTCAAATTCGTGTTTATGATTTAAATCTTTCATCTCTAAGATGTGACGAAGTAACAAGGAAAGTGTGAACTGTACACATGGAAAAAAGTAATATAAATTATTATATTTTTATTATATACATCTATTACTAAAATTGTTAATGTTTTCATGGTTCGTTATGTAGTATTTTTTCCTCTTGAGCATAATAATATCTCTATTATAAACTCCATTTTTTTAAGGGCTTAAATAACCTTAACTCATAGCCGTCAGAAAAAATTCATTTTGCCAGGTATGTTGTCATTAAACATACACTAAATATACACGTATTGTGTATACAGTGTTTATATAAATTACGTTTATTTGTGAATACATGTATATATGTGTAATGGTATATTTTCTTAATTGTACACATATGTACGCACGCTCGCGCGTGGATGAACGAAATAATCAATAAAAACAATTAAAAACTAAAACTGTAGAAAAATGTAAACTTGCCAAATGACAGACGACTGATTTGAAAATATGTACTTCGATTTAATTAAGATTACTTTGCTACCATGGAACATATTGTAATATATACAATAAAAATAGAGAACAACATTTGTGTATAAATTGCTTCTATATCTCCTAAAAGGTTTAAAAACAATAACACGAAAGAAACATTATTGATAATTGTAAAACCTGCAAACTTTCTAAGCGCATTAATTACAATCCATTATATTTAGCGGTCTGATTGACCAAATTACTTCTTTCAATTAATTAACATTTTTATGTAAGGTTTTGGAAGGAAGATATGATAGCTCAAGTGGTCAGAGCAGCGGCGTATTGAGCCGTAGGACGTCGGTTCGAATCCCGTTCGTGACTTTCTCATTTCAATCAAAACATTACATAAAAATGTTAATTAATTGAAAGAATTAATTATAAATCCATTTTTTATTTGTGTGTGTGTGTGTGTGTGTGTGTGTGTGNAGAGAAAGAGAGAGAGAGGGAGAGAGAGAGAGAGAGAGATAGCGAGAGAGAGAGAGTGAGAGAGAGAGTGAGAGAGAGAGGCAGAGGAGAGGGAGAGAGAGAGTGAGAGAGAGAGAGTGAGAGAAAGTGAGAATGAGAGTGAGAGATAGAGAGTGAGTGAGAGAGAGAGAGAGAGAGTGAGAGAGAGTGAGTGAGAAAGAGAGAGAGAATAATTTAAGGGTCATATTGACCGTTCTTTTACAATCAAAGGAAGAGAAAAACAGAGAGAAAGTGATTGATTAGTTAGTTGGTCGATTGATTGATTGAGATATTTGTATAAATTGATTTTACCTCGCTCAAAACAAGTCTCAATCAATCTGTTTTTTCATACTTACCTTGTCATTCAGACAAGTACATATTTTTCTCTACTCTTAGTTTCTAATTTGCTAACATTAAGAGCCCAATAATCTACGAAAACGATTATTAATTGTGATTTTATTTTCAGATCTTCATCAGAGCTGTTTCCATGTTTCGAATGTGTTTGCTCTTGTGCTAGCCTCTCCTAGGCTTTGTCGTGAATTTGGACAGGACCAAGGAGGGCCTGGCACAGGTGTGGACGAGCCAACACTTACAAAACGGGCCAACTTTAATTTAAATTTAATCAGTTTACTTGACAATCATTGGTTCTAAACGTCAGCATCAACAATGAAAAATAAACATCAAATAAAATGAAGTTTTATTCATATAAAATAAACATTTTAGTTTAATATAAAGTATGCCAAACTAAGCAGTAAAATCAAAGGTGGTGCTTTTATGATTTGAAAAATTATGTGGAGAAAGTAGTAAGTATCGTCTTTAATTTTATTCTAGACTAAAATTTACGATGAAAATTAAAATTATCAATATTTATTTGAATATTTATGTTGAAGAAAATGTCTAATGATTTTTCCCAAGAATGTTTATTATTATTGCTTTCCCATTTGTTTTATTTTCTGTGCCTGTGACCATCCAGCCCAATTTTTCTTATCGGCTTATTTTCTGTCTTAAACTAGTAGACTGTCAAAAAAGAAGATTTCATTATAACAAATTTTCATAGCTTTTATCTTAAGCTGTTCTTAAGCTTTCCCTTAATCTTACAGCATTCCTGTCTTACAGTGGACCTTTTAGCTGTCAGGCGGAGGAAAATGTTTGCGCCTAATCCTACCATTTTTAGAAATTCTTTTTTTATTGGCGATACTTTCGAAAAGATGTTTTTATAACAATTGCATTTTTGACTTGCCTTTCGGCTGCGATTTGATTACTTAAATCGTCTGGTCCGCCTGTTATCGCTGTATCCGAGAATTCTATTTAAATATTAACTGTATACGTTCTTGTCAAGCTAAAGTATTTGCTACATTAGATTTTTAAACGTATTTATCAAATTATTTTTAACCGTTTAGCATTTTGAAGTTTTAACGCGAGCATGAAGTTTTTTACCTTTTCTTCACGTTGAAGATTGTTTTGTTTAAGAAAGATTATCTTTTTATAATGATGGAATGAAAATATTTTGGGCTAAAGGATAACGCATTTTTGAGATATGTTTCTTTTTAAATCAAATTTCATTGTTTTTATCTGAAGTGCCGGAACACTGGTCAATATTCAATTAGATTAAGGTCGACAATTAAAGTCTTGTTTATGTTTTTTAATAGTTACTCAATCGTGGGATTTTTTTTGTGATCTGTGGAGTGAGAAACTTGTATTTTGTCGGTGACGGTCAACTTACCCTTGTTGGTCTGTCGGAAGCGTTTCGCCATCTTCAGTATTAAACAGTGTAGTGTAATACGTTTAATTATAATATGGAAAAAGAATGCTTGTGTGAATGATGTTTGTTATCATATTTTCATAAGGTCTTGGTTCTCCTTTAATTCTTCATAATAATAAAATTACACACAGAGTTATATTTCATACTTCAAACAACTTCTTTTAATTAACGTTGTTTTATAAATATCTTATTTTTATATTGTAAAATAATGTGTGACAAATTGTCATGAGGATTCCATTTTTTGTGATAATGTCCATACTCGGCAGAATGATAGATTTTTACCCATAAGATGAAATTTATGCTATTACAAATTATCTATACATTATTAGTTTTAACTTTTTAATAGTGATTTAAATGTTGTATTGCAAAGCAATGTCTGTGACTGACACTCGTGAGGAACTATATTTTTATGAGAAAGTGGTTTATTTTTTCCGAATAATATTAAATTTATAAGCATGTATATTATCTATATATTGTTTGATCTTATATTTCAAATTGGTATTTTATTTCTTCCCGTAATAATAATTTGTACAACCATAAATTACTTATACATTTTTAATAGTTAATTGATTGTAATATTGAACAACAATGTGCGATTCCGACAATTCAGAAAAATTCATATTTTTATGAGAAAATACCTGCTCTTCTTATTGGTCGATTTTTTCTCGTAAGATTAAATTTATCCATATACAAATTATTTATTTATTATTAGTTTATACATTTGTAATATTTGATTGTATATTGTTCAACAATGTCTGTGTGACTCTGACAGTCATGATGATTTATTTATGAGGGAATTAATTCTTTCCTAATGAATTGATTTGTCCTCGTAAGATTAAATTTATACCATTACAAATTTTCTATATGTTATTAGTTTATATATTTGTAACAATACTATATATATAATTTTTTTTTGTATCCGTAATTTCACAAGGAAAAATCTTCGGCTGTTTTTGTTTTGTTATCTTTTTTCTAAATAGTTATATTTTATTTCTCTAGCAAATTTTTTAAATTAGTATTAACAATTTTGAATAAAACAAATATTTTAATGAGAAATTCGTATTTTTATGAGAAAGTGCCTAAAGGCATGATTGAGAATTTTCCCCATAAGCTTAAATTTATACAATTAAAAATTATTTTTGTATAATTGCATAACCACCATTTTGGAAGGGTAGTAAAAAATATTTTCACCTGGTATTTCACACTTCGTCCGTATTCATCATGTCGGACATAACGCCTCATAAATTGTATCATAAAATTCAACTAGAATGTCGATTCCATTCAGATTTATGAGCACACTATACCTTGGCTTTTATTTATGAACCTCGTCCAAATCCCCCCCAAAAAATTCATAAGAAGAAAGTCCTCGTCTTGATAAGTTTTAAACGGCTTCCTACGCAACTTGGATCGCGCTAATCTGGCATTTACATTATGCAACATATGTAAATGCAATTTGTCTTCTAGGTGTAAATTAAATATCAAAATTACCTTTGCCTGTGTCCGGTTTCCTTGTAAGTTTGACTTATCTGTCTATTTCTGTAGTGATCTGTTCCTGAGAGTTGTTTCTCCCTCGGGATCTTTGAGCGGCTGAGTCATTCCTGCTCCTGTGCCAGCGTGTGGGACGAATTTAATCATTCAGGAAAACAGCAGAGTCATGAGCATTAATTTACAAAAAAAGCCATTGGAGAAATTCTCATCCGTTTTAATCAAGCACGACCTTTT